CCGCGCGCTCTTTCCGGCAGGTCTACAAAAGTGTGACAAAAAACCCGCACTTTAGTACAAAAAAGGGGGGGTGTCACGTCCCGTCTATTTCCCGCTTTTTACCTTTGAATCCCAAAAAGGAATGGGCATTGGCGGAAAATAGGGGGGACAAAAGTGGGCAGCAAAAATTTTTCCCGAGGCCCGGGGGAAAAAGTTTTCGAAAAAGGAAAATTTTTTTTTGTGGGTTTACCCTGTAAAATCCCGTTTTAAAGGTATATTATTATTGGGCACGAGCCACGAAGTAAGATGTCGAGGACTGTTGTACTTGGATACAAGATCTAGAGAAATGCAGTGGTGGCATTTTTTATAGAAATAACTATGGGCTTCGAGACAATACAGCTGAAATTGAAACAGGCAGAAGAAATTGAAATTCTTTGATTCTTTGATCCTCGTGACCAAAATTGTTATGGTTTTTAAAAGACGAGGAGAAAAAGAACGAATGCGAGGTGAGAGAAAAAATTTCCACTGCTGGGTAAACAATATCATAACAGACTAAGTAGTCACTGACTTACTGGTCTGTGTGTGGGTATTTTAAGCAGCCCTGAAGCGTATCAGAATGCAGGATCGATATCACGTGACCATTGGCAAGCCAATACGTGCACTACATTGGTATCACGTGATCTACAAACACATGGAGCAGTTCTGCGCTTGACAGGGCTGTTGGCAAGCAGCCACTGTCTGGAAGAGTGAGTCACCGTCTAGAGCTGTGTCTAGAGTCCAGTATGGAGTCACGTGACCTTGATATCCCGTATTAGTCGGCTTGACCAGAGAGGAGTGACGAATAAACAAGCACAATGCTGGTAGAAGAGGAAAATAAGTGGCGAAGTTCAGGATCAAGCTATCAAGAAGAATAACATAGTCATGATCATTGGGTTTGTAAACGTGCACTAATTACATTATCTGACGATAGTTATCAGGCTTTGAGTTTTGGGAGTTATTTTTAAAATTTCGGTCCCCGATAAATTGTTATTTTTTGTGATACCGATAGCGGTGATCATGGTCTGCAGTATATTATATATTTCTCAGAGCTAAGTATTATTTCTATTTGATATCCGGACTAACTCAGAATATTTAAACTAATTGAATTTATTCGTCATCGTGTTGGTCTCGCGATCAACACAATGCCTAACCGACAAAGTGTTTGCCGATAATCCTTAGTGGGAACTTTATAATTTAAATTACAGTGCAGACCTCCTAATAACAAGTAGAATTCAAAAGTCGAAACAGCCTCCCATTTTGGTTTTGACTCACCGAGTAAAATACAAAAATAAAATCCTCTTCATTTAAAGTCAGCCACCCCGACGCGACAACTCCGTCAAAATAATATAGTTTACAGGAGACTATGGGAAAGAGTGAACCTGTGACGGTATCACAGCTTGTGTGCCTGCCCCCAGTTCGCAGTAAACCACTTAGCATTTGTATCGTTTTTAGCTTGTTATCAGCAGTCGTTATCTGCAAGTGTTACACACCACGCTAACCTGATGAATTTCTCTGTGGACTTACTACACACAGTGGAAAAGGATATGCAATCGGAGATTGGAAAGCTCATGAAAGCCGTGAATGTCTCGTCCTTCTCTGATATCAACCAGGGTGTTCTACAAAAACTGCTTAAGGGTCCGCTTGTAAATTTTCTCAGCAGCATATTACATTTAATGGACAGCAATATGAAGCTATGCAGGTCTGCAGCCAGCAAGATAGATCAGATGAAAACAGAACAGATAGACATGCAAAAGCAGCTGATAAACAGACAGCAGAATGAGATCGAATCGGTGCAGAAAACTGTAAAGAATGAAATGAAAAGTTGGGCAGATGTCGTCAAGAAGAACAGCGTCCAAAACAATCAGCTGACAACAAAAACTGTGAAAGAAGCCGTGCGATCAGTGAATAAAGAAGAAGAAAGATCGAGAAACTTGATTATCTACGGTTTGAAGGAGACGGAAGAAGGGGAGTGGGAGGACGTATTAGAGATGGACCCTCTCCCGGACTTTTTCAAGTCAGTTTTTGCTGAGGCCGGCTGTCATTTTCCTGACACGGATGAGATATGCAGGATTGGGAAGAAAGTTCCTGAGAAAACGCGACCAGTCAAAGTTCAGTTACAAAGCTCTAGCGATGTGGACATTATACTAAGGAATGCACACAAACTTAAAACAAATGATGATTTTAAGTCAGTTTATCTTGCACCGGATAGGACAAGGGAGCAGAGAATAGTACACAGTGGACTTGTCAAACAGATGAAAGAACTAATAAAGCAGGACAATAGCAAGCGTTATTTTATCAGAGACAATAAAGTTAATTGTGTTAGTGAGAGCTAGAGCCTTATCTACAAGTACACTGACTTGTTATCTGAACTTATGAACTTTAATATGTTATGTTCACTTTCGTTATCTACGTGGTGATACAGTGTAGTTTTTACATAGTATGTATTTTAATTTGGTTTAAGTGGTGGCCGTTGTATTCTATAAACCGTTTTTAACGAGTTTTTTTACGATGCAGTATTTTGTGAGGAGATTTAGGCAGCATGAACTGTGGCTCATATTTTATTATTTAAGCTGCTCTACGAGCACACACGCTAGCTAGTTGGTTTTTAGATAGTTAAGAGTATTAGTTACTTAGTTAGTTAGTGTAAATTAGTATCAGTCAGGATCTGTTAGCACACAGAACTGTTAGTTTTCGCGAAGCAGGTCTGACTTTCATATATATTCTTATAGTAGACTTCGTCATATAAATTTATTTTGAACTTAGTAACAATTTCAGGGGAAAAATAGAAATTTAAGATTTCATTTCTATTCTAATATTCACGTATATTAAATACAATTATATTGTTATGTATCATATGATTTTGTAAACATTGGCCGGTGTACCAAAAACCGGTCCCCAAACAAACAAGTGTACCAGCATAATAAGCTCAAGTTCGGGTATAGTCTTGAAGCTTCTTTAACGTTCCGTTGTTCATATAAAATAAAGACAAGTTCCCTGCAATATTCACATAAACTTGGGGAAGGTAGGCATGTTTGTAGAATGCGGGGGGGGGGGGAGGGGGGGGGGGAGGGGGGGTCACGTCCGCTTGTCTCATAGAATTTTATAAGTCGAAATTTTTCAAAGTTTTTTTTTGGAAACTAGGGGAGGCCTGCTTTCTGAGATTGAATCGCAAAGAGGATGCCTCAAGGCTCGATAGGTTATGAATATAGGCTTCTTATGAATATAAGCTCCTTCCAATTGTCCAAATTATGTGCGAAAAATTCTCATAATGTTTGTCGCACGCTAATGTCCGTCAATGTCCGTCCGAGCCCGTCAATGTCCGCTAATGTCCCAAAAAACACGTCCGTTGTCTCATAGACAATAGTGGGTAAAAATATGGCGGATTTTCCGCCAATTTTAACCCGCCATAATTAAACAAACTAAGGTAGTTATCGAAAATTAACATAAAATAATAATCAATACAAACAGATCGGGTAAAGTTAGACCTCTGTCACCATGCAAAACTTCAAATATTGGGCCATTGTGTGACCCGAGTAGATCAGAAAGGAAATGATAGTAATGAAAAGGCACACTCTTTTGCCAAACAAGGCTCTGATAACTCCGCCCAAGTGCTACTACCAATACCAAAAGTATTATGGAAGGGAGCGCTGCGGAGTATAAGTCATCGGAAAATGAGGGAAAGATGGAGAACGTTGCCCAACACTCATTTCAAACGAGTATGGAGACACAAGTTCGCCAGATTAATCCCCAAACTTGGTAAAGAGAGCACAAGAACAGCGACACAATTCCTCACTGGACACTGTGAACTAAACTACCATATTAATAAGTTCAAGCCGAAAACTGTGCCTAAAACTTGTCCACACTGTCTCATGGAAGAGGAGACAATGAACCACTTTATTGGTCAGTGCCCGAAGTGGTCTTTCCAACGAGGAGAATACTTTGACTCCTTCTACCTTAGTGTGACAGGCATAGTGGACAATATTACCGGGGTAAGCACAGGGCTCCAATGCTCTCTCTTACAGGGCTCCAATGCTCTATCTTACAGTTGTCATGCTCTATCTTATTGTGATAATGACCGCATCCGCCTACGAAGACCTGAGGAGTGAGTTAATGTGAACGTTTTGGGTGTAGGTCTCTTAAGCGGGCCGGGGGGGGGGGGTAAGAATTTTTTTCTCCAATCTAAAAAATCACATTTTTCCATCTTGTTGACCTCTTATTTCAAGAACAAAGGCAAAAATCAAAATTTTAAAACATAACGTTTTCGCGTGACACCCCAAAGAACACACGTGCCAAGTTTCAGCTCCTGGTTGTGGCCAGTATTTTCATGTGATTACAATTATTAAACCTCAATATTTGGTGCGTGATATCTCAAAAACGCAGGGTCAGATTTCGGTCCGGTTTTTTTCTTCTTGTTCGTCTCCAGCAGCTCTATCACAAATGTGAAAACTGGAAAAATTATGTTTCCCCCCCCCCCCCCCCCCCCCTCTGGCCTTAATCCCGAGCTGATTGTCATAGGCCAGGTAAATAACGTTAATTCGATTATAACTGGTAAGTTTTACCAGGGTGGCACAACATAATATTACTTATAATTACATTGGGGGGGGGGGGAGTGCCACGTCCGTCTATGCGGACTTCGAAAATCGAAAAAAAATATTTTCGGCTAATAATGATCAGGCCAGGGTAGCATAAAACATGAGCAAAATTAGTTTCCAAAAATAATTTCGGTCCGAGTCATATCCTTCGATTATCGAAGTCCGCACCTACCCCTCGATACACAATTTTGGAGTTTTTCTGAAAACCACTTTTCTCCACGTTTCATTCTACCGTGTTCATTATTAGCCGAAAATATTTTTTCGGTTTTTCGAAGTCCCCACCTACCGCCTCGATACACAATTTTGGACTCGAGGCTTCCCCCTGGTAATGCAATCTCGGAAGGCAGGCCTCCCCTTTGCAACACAAGCTCGGAATTGGGAGCTCTCGATATGGGAGGTACGTATCGAGAATGAAATAATTCTCATAATTTTTGTCCGTTTATGTCCGCCAATGTCCGTCCGAGTCCACCAATGTCCGTCAATGTCCGCTAATGTCCCAAAAACATGTCCGCTTGTCTCATAGAATCCAAAAAGGACAGGACATGGCGGACATTGGTGGACATGTCACCGGGTCACCCCCCCCCCCCCCCCCCCCCCTACAATTATATGTTTTCCCGTTATTTAATAAATAAATTCCCGCTTAAAGTTCTAAGTGCTTCAAAATGTATGTTACCAATCCTGATAGACCCTTAATTTCAGGAAAAGTGGCTGCCAGGGAGTCGAGTTATAACAACGCTTCAGCAGTCGCTAGAAATCCCCTCCTCAGCTCTGTTAAACTTATTTACTACAAGATATTTGCTAAGATGTACTCGGTAATGGGAGCCAAATCTAAACTTGTGTTTGTCAACTCATCTTGGACCAAGGGACACATAGACGATATTTGGCAGATTCCTGACAGGACTACACTTCTTTACCCACCTTGCAATACTGAGAACTTCCTTAAAATTTCGGGACCTAGATCTAAGAGGATTGTGTCGGTTGCCCAGTTTCGGCCAGAGAAAGATCATAAATTGCAGATCGAATCATTTGCGATGTTCGTGGAAAAAACTGGACGAAGAGATGTAACGTTAACCCTAGTGGGTGGGGTAAGAAACCAGGGAGATAGAGATAGAGTAGAATCTCTGAAGCAACTTTCTGAAACCCTTAAAGTAGACGAACTGGTTGAGTTTAAAGTCAGTATCCCCTACTCCGAGCTGTACCAGATCTTATCCGACTCTCTGATGGGTCTCCACACCATGTGGAACGAACACTTTGGTATTGGAGTGGTGGAGTTCATGGCAGCCGGTATCATTCCCATAGCACACAACAGCGGGGGTCCTAAGTTGGATATAGTGGTACCAGGGACAGGCTTCTTAGCAGCCACTGCTGAGGAATACAGTGATCACGTGATAAGAGTTCTGGAGATGACAGATGAAGAATTGGAGGGCATAAGGGAAAGAGGACGGGAGCATGTGATGGGCACCTTCTCTGATGAGGCCTTCTCGACTGTCTTTATTGAGAAGTGTGTGAACGAGTTGGATATGGATCTTAGATGGATTGAAGAGTTTGATGCAGAGGACGAAGAGAGGTTGGAAGAGTTTTCAGATTGATTGGAATTTAAATTTTCGTTTGATTTGGAGTGTTTACAGCTGATCTTCACTTTGTTAGTCGTTCAGATAGTTTTATTGACTGGAAAATATTATTGATCTATAAGCGTTTTCCTCATAAATTGGTAATTTTTAATGGGACACTATTTAATTTTAATGTTATTTATTTTTATTAGTTTAAAAGCACATTTAACCTTCAGGGTCACAAATTTTAAACAATTGATACAGTGTTTTAAGTGTTAGATTATAAATTTATGTTTTCTTTTGAGTTAAGCACTGTATTTTCTCGAACAAACATTTTATCACAATAGATTCTCCTACTGCGCTAACAAGCTCTAAACCCCGTAACTTTAACTCCCCGTTAAAAACTCAGCCTCATCAAGATCTTTGGTTTGTACCGTCTCCCTTCTGACTTCTCATCAAGTCTTACCAAGAACAAGCGCCTTTACATGGGTACCTGTATTTTTGTTTTATTTTCAGTTGAACTTGACTGAGTAGAGTGACTGATTGTTACTTGAACATAAAGTAGAAACATGCAGACATTTGGTTATCAACACAAGAATGGAAAGAATTCCATAAACCTAAGATCATTGCTGCAACATACTTGTGAATATCTTTGCAGTCAGTGTGTTCAAGACAGGGATAGTAGTTACCTCCCTTGTCTAGATAACACCAGTTCTTGCAACCCAGTCCATCAAAACACTTCTTTCTGTTCTCAAAGAACGCACAAGCTCCTGATAAGGATTGATAACGGACATTTACTTCGAGTAAGAGATTCCGGCAAGTGGGCAAGTGTTTCTATTGATATTAACTGTTCTAAAGGTGTTGCGATATTCATAGCTGGAAAAATTGGACAAATAGACATAGCTAGTGAGCACTAAGCATCCTAATGTTTAAAACAGCACAAAAGAAATTATAAGTTCTGACCTCCACATTGGCTCCAACAGAGCCCTTGCTTACACCCGTAAGTACAGCTACTGATTCTGTCACAGGGGTAATCAGAGTCTGACCACGCACAAGCTCCCTCTCCTGATAACACGTGCTTTACTATCATGTCACATGTGGTACATACTATATTTCAACTTTTTCAGAGGAATTAAAACATTGATCTCAATTGAATATACTGTGGTTTTTAACGATATATCCATATTCTTATTAAACTTTAGGCATGCAACAGACTACTTGGCATTGAGATGCGTAATTAATAGTTAATAGTACTAATTAATTATAATTACCTTCTTCAAAAACTGCGGCGAGAACCACCATGCATAGCACAATAAGTACCTTCATCTCTGAACTGTAAACGTTAGATACGTCGTAATAGAATCTAGACTTAAATAATACATATATTATCGATGAAACGAGTTTGAGTAAATCAATACAACCAATTACCATCAATATTCAATAGTAATAGGATTAGAATAACTTGCGGCTGATGAGGAGCCTAGATCCACTGTTTTAAATATTAATCACAAAAAAAACTAAGGAGCAGTTTTCTAAAGGAATAGTTGTCTATTACTTAGCTCATGTTTAACCACAATCGTGCTAAATACGTTAAACTGCCATGTGCCAGTTTTATTTGAAGATCTGCACAGTGTGGCTGACGAGGTGAAAAATGAATTAGCAGGCCGGATTAATTCAATTTTCGTTTTGAAACCATGAACTTGAGTATACCATATTTTTTGTCAACTATGGTTCATAGTTCAATTAGGACTCTGTCAAGGCTTTGTCTTACTGTTCAGAGCTATTGTCTACAACTTTGAATATGAAGTTATTCGATTTTTTGTTAAAACTGTAAATTGTATTAGAAAAAAAATACGGATTCGATATTTTACGTAAAGTATGTTTATAAAGTGATGGTGTGATCTAATCTGACAACATCAATAATTAAGTATATATACCTAATTCAACCATATACCTATTTTAAATTTTGGTGCGATAGTAGGCAAAAAAGTTTAAAAAATATTATTGCTATATTGATAGTTGTGGACACAACAAGAAAATTGAGAATAATCTTGTGCGAGGGTAGGGACCCAGATGTCGTTTCTAACCCAAATAAACTTTAAGGAGGCTTCTCATCAGTAGCCGCACCTCCTTACTCGGTTTCTGAACTGGAATTCTATGGGCTTCCAGACGGCCAGACCGAGTATTACCATCCCATCCTTCTAGAGTTCATCACAAGTAGCACCCACCTTGAAGATCTTTGACACCCAGACACACCCCATTGGCGAACAAACTTTGGATATAATCTTACATGCTCCCGAAGGAATCCCTGGTTTATGGTCTTTCTCATCGTCACCAGCACTTTCACTAGGTCACCAGCTCTTTCACTGAAGTCATCAGCCCTTTCACTGAAGTCATCAGATGTGACTCTGATCAACGGTATAGTTGTGGACACAACAAGAAAATTGAGAATAATCTTGTGCGAGGGTAGGGACCCAGATGTCGTTTCTAACCCAAATAAACTTTAAGGAGGCTTCTCATCAGTAGCCGCACCTCCTTACTCGGTTTCTGAACTGGAATTCTATGGGCTTCCAGACGGCCAGACCGAGTATTACCATCCCATCCTTCTAGAGTTCATCACAAGTAGCACCCACCTTGAAGATCTTTGACACCCAGACACACCCCATTGGCGAACAAACTTTGGATATAATCTTACATGCTCCCGAAGGAATCCCTGGTTTATGGTCTTTCTCATCGTCACCAGCACTTTCACTAGGTCACCAGCTCTTTCACTGAAGTCATCAGCCCTTTCACTGAAGTCATCAGATGTGACTCTGATCAACGGTATAGTTGTGGACACAACAAGAAAATTGAGAATAATCTTGTGCGAGGGTAGGGACCCAGATGTCGTTTCTAACCCAAATAAACTTTAAGGAGGCTTCTCATCAGTAGCCGCACCTCCTTACTCGGTTTCTGAACTGGAATTCTATGGGCTTCCAGACGGCCAGACCGAGTATTACCATCCCATCCTTCTAGAGTTCATCACAAGTAGCACCCACCTTGAAGATCTTTGACACCCAGACACACCCCATTGGCGAACAAACTTTGGATATAATCTTACATGCTCCCGAAGGAATCCCTGGTTTATGGTCTTTCTCATCGTCACCAGCACTTTCACTAGGTCACCAGCTCTTTCACTGAAGTCATCAGCCCTTTCACTGAAGTCATCAGATGTGACTCTGATCAACGGTATAGTTGTGGACACAACAAGAAAATTGAGAATAATCTTGTGCGAGGGTAGGGACCCAGATGTCGTTTCTAACCCAAATAAACTTTAAGGAGGCTTCTCATCAGTAGCCGCACCTCCTTACTCGGTTTCTGAACTGGAATTCTATGGGCTTCCAGACGGCCAGACCGAGTATTACCATCCCATCCTTCTAGAGTTCATCACAAGTAGCACCCACCTTGAAGATCTTTGACACCCAGACACACCCCATTGGCGAACAAACTTTGGATATAATCTTACATGCTCCCGAAGGAATCCCTGGTTTATGGTCTTTCTCATCGTCACCAGCACTTTCACTAGGTCACCAGCTCTTTCACTGAAGTCATCAGCCCTTTCACTGAAGTCATCAGATGTGACTCTGATCAACGGTATAGTTGTGGACACAACAAGAAAATTGAGAATAATCTTGTGCGAGGGTAGGGACCCAGATGTCGTTTCTAACCCAAATAAACTTTAAGGAGGCTTCTCATCAGTAGCCGCACCTCCTTACTCGGTTTCTGAACTGGAATTCTATGGGCTTCCAGACGGCCAGACCGAGTATTACCATCCCATCCTTCTAGAGTTCATCACAAGTAGCACCCACCTTGAAGATCTTTGACACCCAGACACACCCCATTGGCGAACAAACTTTGGATATAATCTTACATGCTCCCGAAGGAATCCCTGGTTTATGGTCTTTCTCATCGTCACCAGCACTTTCACTAGGTCACCAGCTCTTTCACTGAAGTCATCAGCCCTTTCACTGAAGTCATCAGATGTGACTCTGATCAACGGTATAGTTGTGGACACAACAAGAAAATTGAGAATAATCTTGTGCGAGGGTAGGGACCCAGATGTCGTTTCTAACCCAAATAAACTTTAAGGAGGCTTCTCATCAGTTTCATATAAGTTTACATAATACATAGTTTAAGTTATGCTGTTCTGATTAAATAAAGTATAATCAAGGCCAAGGATTGAATTAAAATTAAAATTATACTTATACCAACTCGTGTAATAGGAGTTTAAAATAAAAATACACTATCATTGCGATAATTAAAATTAAAAATATCAGTAAAAGGTAAAACTTAGATTAAAACTTATAGATTATATCACCATACATTGGTCTCTTCTTAAAGTTAAAAGCAATCCACAATAGTCCATAATGATAAAAGCAAAGTAGATCAGTGCCCGAAGGTCGATGAGTCACAACTAGAAGTGCTTGTAGTTGTGTAGACTGTGGGTATAAAATGTAGAAGCAATGTCATGTCAATATCTACCTGTTTATTTTATCTCGTTCCGCTCCGCAACAGTCACATCTCTGAAATTGTATCCTTGTGTCATTCAGCAATACTTTAAAGATATAGTGCATTATTATTTAATGTGTAAAACTGATTACGCAGGGGGAGGGGGGGTTAAAAATTGTCCAAAAAGTGATTACGTAATATGTTAATTTAATCTTCGATGTCATTTTGGACTTTGATTTGATCAATGAAATAAAAACTAACCACAACTTGACGCGGCTAGTCTACTGGGGGTGATGCAACGTCAATTAATGTCAGTATTCCATAAAAACCCCAAACTGACATTGACATTAATTGACATTAATTTTTCTTGAAATTTGAGATTATCATTATTCGATAAGTATTCAAGATATGGCAGTATCTAGATAGCCCGACCACTGTCCGCGGACAACTGTCCGCGGAAAACTGTCCACGGACAACTGTCCACGGACAACTGTCCACGAACTACTGTCTACCAGATCATATTACTGCATAATAACAGTATCCCCTGAATC